CCTATACCCTAAACCCTAAACCGGCCGCGCCCGGAATCCCAAGCGCCTAGGTCTTCTTGCTCCTACACCCCATCAGATGCCAGCTCGCGTCAATCTAGGGGCTTTAGGAGGGACCCTTTAAGGGGATTTAGGGTTTAGGGTTTAGGGTTTGGGGGACCATTGTAGGTTATTGGGGTCAATATGGAGACTACCTGGCTATAGAAGGGGTATATAAGGACTAGACAACGGTTATTTAAGGTAAGGGGATTACGGGTCCTTATTAGGGGTCCCTCCTAAAGTCCTTAGTCAAGTTATACCCCAAGCTCCAAACCTAAATACTACTGCTGATGATATAAATCCTGCCCTTAAGGACCCTAAACTATGGGAATTACGGTATATTCCTTATTCTGGGTAATGCAGGATGTAGACCATCAACCGTATGAGGCTTAAAGCTTCAGAAATTGTCGGGACGACTCGAGGGTTTGCTCTGCAAATTACGGTTTAGGGTTTAGGGTTTAAGGTTTACGGTTTAGGGCTTTGCAATCCTCATTTTGGGGGCGTTTCATCGTCGGGCCCCACCAAAACTTGGCTGACTTCTGGACCCCTCCTAAAAGTTAGACTTTTAGCCTACTTATTATAGTTCATACAGAAACCCAAAAGGTTAAAGTCCTAAGAGCCAACCAGAAGCACGCCAAGTAAAAAAAAACATAGCAAACACAACAAAAACAAGACGCAGCTGACCTCACAGCAGTCACTGACAAGGCAGCAGGACGAGTAAGTAGCTAGGGGAATTCAAACGAAGGCCTGCCTATAGGCTACTGACAGAGTCGGGGATCCTTCAAGACAACCCTAAAGCCTACATCCTACACCCCTAAACCCTTAACGCGAGAAAAAAGACCCTACGAGTTCAAAACCTTAAAACCTCCATCCACTACGAAGATTTCCTGGTTTGTCAACAGGACAGTGAACTCCCGCAGCATGGTGAAACGCAGAAAACCATGCAAACCTTACAAACCTCTTTCAGCACTACAAACTTTGCAGCGGATCGAAGGCAAAGGTGTGCGTCCTTTCTCGGCTGGCACTGACACAGTTTTTCTGAAAGCGATAGCCAGTCGGTGGGCATCATTCAGGGAGCCCAATACCCCAAACTAGGGTTTGAGGTGCGCAGGGGCTTTTTCGAGGCTTGAACGGATTTTTTTGTCAGGGCAATATAAGGATGTGTCAGGCTCCTGTGTAATTATCATGTTTGGCTGATTCTTAAGTGACGTGTAATATAAAGGGATCATGAGGATCATGTAGGGTATACTGTCTGAATGAGAGATACTGGGATCTCTGGGTAATATCTGACTCCAGATGTGGGCTGGCATGCGAAGAGTTTAGGCTTTAAGTCTTCGGGCTTTAACACTTACGGTTTGGGATCTCACGTTGTTTTTGCTCGAGGTGGCACACAACTGTCCACAGCTACCGTAAGGCTCAAGGTCAAAGAGTCTCCTCCAAATGCATTACGCCCCTCGAGCTGTTTCAATGGTTCTTCAGAAGCACTATACCCCCCCCCCTCCCTCCCTCCCACCATATGTTCAGGCCTGAATATTTCAAAGATGGCCTTAATGAGTTAAAACAAATTTTCAGGTCTATGTGAGAATCGACTTGTAGAAGGACCACAGGGGTATTATTATCATTACTACACGTTATTCCCGAAGGCTCAGACGTCCATAGCCCATAGCAACCTCGTAAATAATCCCTAGACCCTAAACGCTGAACCCTAGAGGATTGGTCCTTTAAGTTTGCGGCTCAGGCGGTTAAGCCCTAAACCCCAAACCCTAAACGTCTCTAGATTAACCTCCATTTTGGGGGCTTTAAGGCTGGGGCACAATCGTCCATTTCGGGACAACCCTAAACTCAATGAGAAAAAGCACGCCCGTTCATGAAGCAAATATTTAAGTCCTCGGGCTCGGGGTTTAGCGTTTAAGGTTGGGGGTATTACTCGATCTTAGGCCCCCATTGCCCCATAGAATCCTAACAAAGGGGACCCCACGGGGCACTCCTCCGGAACATTAAAGCGGTACAATGTCAAAACGGGGGCTTAAAATACTCCGCTGGCCAGGCCAGGTACATCGCACTATTCGGTACTCCGATACTCCGCAAGACGTCGCAAGACAAGAAAGGTCCAGTAGGTCAAAACTCTTGTCCTCCCGATGTATGCTGAGGATCCCTTTAGCCTTTGAAGGCATATTTCTTGAATCACGAATCTAGGTCTAGGGGCCTAAATAAGTACCACACCTATTTGGGGGCTCCTTCTTATAAGTATAGTATACTGGTCGCAAAAAACCCTATTCTAATTATGAAGGACCTTATATTAGGAGCATTGGGCTCTCTGCGAAGTCGGTGTGTAAACCCTGAAGCTCGCGGAATGTCTCTCAGCGGTGGCCGGCTGCAGTAGGTCACCGGATGGTGGCCTTTGGGATGTTAAGCTTAGGATTTAGGTTTCAGGGTTAGGGTTTAGGGTTTAGGGATTAGGGTTTAGGGTTTAGGGGTTAGGGTTTAGAGTTAGGGTTTAGATATAGGGGTCCGGGGCTTTAGGGAGGTTTCCGGGTTGTGGGTTTAGTCAACCGGAAATCCTGAACACAGCCCTTCAGTACCCTGGGGCTTTGAGAAACCCTACAAGATCCCGTACAAAACCCATTGGAACAACATCGAAGTCCAGCGGAATCCTATAAAAACTACAATACTTTAAAAAAAGACAACGAAAACTTCAAGGATAGCGAGAGGGACCAAGAGAGAGAGAGAGAGAGAGTACAAAC